GGCATCATCGCCTTTCAAATCCGAAGATGCTGGTGTGCCTGGTCATGGGGCTCCTAGTGATGCATCGGCCGCCAGCGGAGATGGTGCGGCCGAGGCACAACAACAGCCGACACCAGGTTTCGAGCATGATGAGGATCTTGACGAAGACATGGTCGAGGAGATTTTCAATGCAGCCATACGGATTGACAAGCGTGAGTGCATTGAGAAGTTCGGTAGCAGGCTGTGCAAGAAGCCGCGCGTGGGGTAGCCCTTGGCTCCCACGGTGTTGCGGCTTGCCCATGTCTGAATACGGAGTTCCTGCTCCACCTCCGCCTCCCCCCGACTCGCTTGACTCGTCCTCGCTTGCTGGCTTGGGCGAAAGCTTCGAGACCTACAATGGCAATTGCTGGCCGACTTTGCGTGAGAGGCTCTGCTCGACATCGGCGCTCGTCCTGCTGGCGCAGGAGATCGGGACTCTCGAGGACCGTGAGGGTGAAAGAGCTGCCTCAGCGGCCAGCTTGGGATGGAAAATGCTGCGTTCCCCCTCCCCTGCTGGTGAATCTGGGAGACCTCGAGCGGGGGCCGGAGTTTTCGTCCGCACGCACATTGGCCTGCGATGGCCGTCGGATGCTCCCGGGATCGTTGCCGAGGGGCGTATCATCCATGTGATTGTCGACTTGCCTGGATGGCCGCCCCTGCGCGTGTTTTCGTGCTACTTTAAGTCGGGGACTGGGTTGCGCGCGTTCAATCTCTCCCTTCTGAGGCAATTAGGAGAGAGGCTCACGGGGAAGCATATGTACGTTGTGGGGGGAGACTGGAACCTCGACGCACATCTGGTTGACTCCACGGGACTTCCCCGTCGAGTTGAAGGGGCCCTGTTTGTGCCAACGCAGAAGACCTGCTTGTCCCCAGGAAGCCTCACCACTGTCGACTACTTTTTAGCGAGCACGTGCTTCGCACGCGCCTGTGATAAGGTTGAGGCTGACATGTCCTGGACTCATCGCCCTCACAGGCCCGTGTGCCTCGCGTTGCGTTCCGATGCCGTTCGGTGCCATCAGCTGATGTATCGGTCGCATCAAAGACTCCCGACGGAGCTGCCTTTCGGGCCGACCCCCAGACCCCAGGACTGGACCCTCAGCCGTACCATTGCTGAGGACGCTGCTGCTGCGGCTCTCACTCGCCCCATCGGCGAGGCGTGGGAACTTCTCACTGTTGCCTGGAAGTATTTTTCCAACACGCTCGAGCTTGAGCTCGAGGCTTTCACGGGAGTGGAGGTTAGAAGCAAAGGACACAAAGGGGACCTCTTGAGAGCTCGGTGGGCCCCGATGTTTGCTAAACCCAAGGCCTGTAGCCTCCGTGAGCAGCACGTCGGATGGATCTGGCTGGCCCAACATTTGTCTGAAACCATTGGGGTGCCAGCTCGATTTCGAAGGGCGGCCCAGGAAACCGATCCCACGGACCAAGCCCAGGTCCAGCGTTTGTCTGAGGATGCGAGCCACCAGATCCAACAGCTTCTTATGTTACCATGCCCCGGTGAGGGGCAGAATGTTAGACTCGACGCGACCCTCGCTCAGGCGCGCACTTTGGCTCGTTCTTTTACGCTCGATGATGGCCTCGATAGCTGGATTGAGCAGTGTCAGGAGTTTCTGTCGTCTTGGGGCGACGGCCTGGACGAGGCGCGCAAGGCCGTCGCGAAGGTTCAGCAGGATAGTTGGGATCAATGGCAGGAGAAAGCTCTTTCTGGGGGAGCGAGGGCCATGCACAGGCTCACGAAACTCAAGCAGAGGTGGACCCCGACCGTCGTGCAAAATCATCATGGTTGTTTTTCTAACTCCCCTCAAGAGCTGCTTGAGGCTGAAGGCAAATCCCTGTCCGAGTTTTGGCACGCGTCGCACATACCACCCGAGGTGTGTGTTCCTGATCGGGAGCACCTCCCTAGGCCGACGGCGGCCGAGATTAGAAGCGCGTCCAGCAGTTTTTCGCACCTGACTTCGCAGTCCCTCGATGGACTGCACCCGAGACAGCTCGCGTTGGTTTTGGTTTCGGACGATGCCCTTGACACGTTTGGGGCGTTAGTCCAAGCGATTGAGTCCCTGGGCCTCTTTCCCAAACAACTGTTCTGGCTGCTTTTCCCTCTTTTGGAAAAACCCCAGGAAGGCCTTCGACCCATCTTGCTGCGCGCCGGCCCCGTCCGGGTCTGGGAACGTTTACGGAGACCTCTGATTGTGGATTTCAACGCGAACTACCCTCGCAGCTACTGGGCGTTTGGCCCTGGCCGCAGTGCTGAGAGTGCCGCGCGGCACCAGGCCGTCCAGGCCGAGATGGCCCACTTCGAGTCTCAGGAAACGGGGGGCATAATATGGGATGGGACGAAGTACTACGAGTCATTTGATTTAGCCCTTCTCAAGGATAGAGCGTTACGTTACGGTATTAACGAGGTCATTGTCAAAACGACGTTTAACTATTGGAGGGGCCCCCGTTTGCTTCGTTTGGGGGGCCCACTACGGGGCCCAGCCTTATTTCGCCAGGTCTGGTCTTCCCGCGGGAGATATCTTCAATGATATCATGGTTCGAGTTTACAGCATCGAAGCCTTTGACAAGTTTGTTGAAGACAACCCCAGCGTCGATTAGTCGTCGCACGTCGATGATGATAGCGTCACAGCGTCGGGCTCTGAGCAAGAGGTCCTGGCCACTATCACTCAGGCGGCTGCTTGCCTGTACGTCCTGTTTAGGGATGAGCTGCGCGTCGGCATTCAGCCCGACAAGGTCAGCACCTTTGCCGGCAGCCGCACCCTCGCCCAGAAGATTGCTAGGCACCTCGGGCAGCTGGCGGGCAAGGTCACGAACAGCGCGGTCTCCCTCGGCACGGATTTCGCACCAGGTCAGACCCGAGGTGCTAAACATGGTCTGTGGAAAAGAAAACAGAGGTTTTCCCACATGAAGAAGAGGCATAAGGTTTTGATGCGATATCGCTCGGCCCTTCCCCGCAAAAAATCTCGCATGGGAAAGAGCTATACGTGCGGAGTGTTGCCTGCGGCCAGTTTCGGCTCGTCGGTTGTGGGGATGAGTCAGGGCGAGCTCCAGGTGGCTCAACGTGTGCTGTTGTCGTCGCACCCCCCTAGGCACCGAGGGTGCTCCCTCCAGGCGCGTCTGGTGATCCTTGGAGACCCGATGTGGAGGCCGTCTGTGGCGCCAGCCCTGCAGTGGGCGTCGATCGCGTGGCTGGCTCTCACCACCCCGTCAGTCCCTAGGTATAATATCAAGGAGATTGCTCATTTGTGGCGTTCTGTCCCCTTTGATGACAAGGTCACGTGGCGCTCGTCACGAGGACCTCTGCAGCGCATGCACCTGTCGCTGGCTAGGATCGGGTGGAAGTCGGTGACCCCCCTTACGTTTGAGGACGACTACGGTCGAGAGGTGCACTTGGGATACACCTCGCCCGCTATGTTAGCGCACATGTTGCAGTTGGCGGTCCAACGAAAACATGAACGGGTTTTATGTCAGGACGCCCCTGGAGCCGACGGTTCTGATCCCCTGAAAACCTTGCTGGGCCCCAAGGGAAGGAAATTCAACCCTCAGCAGAAGTATGTGGCGCTGAGTGTGTTTTACAAAAGGATTTGGACCAGAGCGAGGGCTCAGGCCGCTGGATACTCGTGCGACGGACTTTGCCCGAAGTGCGGGATGCCCGACAGAGTGCGGCACCGCGTTTGGCAGTGCCTTCACCCTGACACCGTCGCCGCCCGTAAAAGTGTTACTGATGACTCTCCTGTTGAATGGCTGGACGAAGCTCTTGAAAGTCAGGACCGTTTGTTCTTTGATGAGTCCAAAAAGAGCACCCTACCCTCCTCCGTCCTCGGCCACTCAACCCATCCTGTACTCTCCTGAAGGGGATATTATTGATTGGGGCTCTGTGGACCTCTCGGGTTGCGATGTCGTCATGGACGGCTCGGCCTATCGGCATACCGTTAGGGAGTTGTCCAGAGCGGCTTACTCCTGGGTTTTCTTGGGGGAGGGCGACACTATTATTGCGTACGCCAAAGATACTGTTCTGTCGGTCCTCCCCCAGACCTCCCAAGCTGCGGAGCACCTTTGCATGGCCCTCCTCCCGATGTTTCAGAGCAACGGCGGAGACCGCCACACCGATTGCATGAATGTGGTGCGCATCTGTGTGGCGACGAGGGAGCACCAGGTTTTTCATAAACATCGTTATGCTGGTCTTCGGAAAGGTGCCCTGCTCCATGAGAAGTTCCCCATCCCGTCGGTGCACCACACACCTGCGCACCGTGCGCGCGCTGTTCTGGACGCTCTGCCAGCGCACGAGAAACGGATTGGTATAGGCAACTTGAAAGCCGACGCCCTTGCCAAGCAAACTCCCCTCCTCCATCCCCAACCCAGTGTGCACGAACGTACGGAGGTGGACAGGAAGTGTGATTTGTTGGCTTTCGCTGCTAGGGTGGCGGGCACCGTGCTTGCCACCTTTCCTCCCGAAAAGTTTGAGCGTCGGCCCTTGGGACCGAGGGCTAAGTTTTTTAAATCGGGAGGTTGGCATTCCTGGCAGGAAATAAGTCAGGGCTGCGCCAGATGTTTGCATTGCCTTTGTATGTCCACTGATCGGGATGCGCGCCCCATGTTGGGATGCAAAGGACCCAGCAAGCTGTGGCGTGGTGTCCTGGATCGGTCCTTGGGGCACTCGTTGGCGCATTGCATTGTAAGCAAAGGTGAGCGGAGGCTCACCCTTTTCTTTTGCTCCATGTGCGGAGCGTACTCCTCTGCGCGCTGTCATATGCTCGGCAAGGAGTGCCTTCAGCGCCGACTGGCGGGTGGCACTACCGTGCTGAGGAGGATCTCTGCTGGCCTCTATCCTCACTATCGTGACAATCGCACGGTGATCCTCGAGGCGAGGCGTGGCTTTCTTTTGCTACGAGTCTCAGAGGCCACCGCCGCCAGATGTCAGCCTGCCGCTCTCGCCGTCAGGGCTGATCGAAACGGCAGGTATGGCGGCGCTCCTGGCACGCATTCAGGCCCGTGAAGCGTCGGCGGTGGCACGGCCCGTTGCCGCGCCTTTGGGCGACGCACCGTGACCAGATTTTGTGGATGGCGGGTGGCTAAATCTGGGGCCTCATCTGTCCCCTGTCCCGCCCGCTGTCCCTCATCTGCTGGGCTGTACGTCAGACGTGCTCAGCGGGTGAGCTGGTCTTCGGCCATCGTGGCCGACGTGCTGTTTCAAAACCGTTCAGGCCCCCAGGGGATCGCTGACAAAAAAAAACTTAGCCGTGTTATTATTATTCTCGTTGGTCCTATTATGAAGATTAATATTATGATGCTTAGTCGTCTGATTCACCTGACCATTCTCATTATTCATATTATTGTTCGTCATATTTGTCCTCCTCCTCATCATCATAATTACCCCTTTTCCTCCTCCTCCTCCTCCTCCTCCTCCCCCTCCTCCTCCCCCTCCTCCTCCTCCTCTTCCTCCTCCTCTTCCTCCTCCTCCTCCAACTCCACCTCCTCCTCTCCTCCTCCTCCTCCTCCTCCTTCTCCTCCCTCTCCCCCTTTCCTCCCCCATCCTCCTCCTCCTCCTCCTCCTCCTCCTCCTCCTCCTCCTCCTCATCATCATCATCATCATCATCATCATCATCAGCATCATCATCGTCATCATCAGCATGATCCTCCTCCTCCTCCTCTTCCTCCTCCTCCTCGTCCACCTCCTCCTCCTCCTCCTTTCCTCCTCGTCCACCTCCTCCTCCTCCTCCTCCTCCTCCTCGCCATCCCTGTCCCCTTTTCCCTGTACTGCCTCAGCCATTTGGGCTCGAGCAATTTCGCTCGCTCGGGCCGTCGGAAAGGCGCTGAGCACCGCGTCGACGACGGGGGTGTTCGGCTGCGGATCGCGCAAGCGGGAGGGGGAGGACGCCGAGGAAAAGAAGGAGGAGGAAGAGGTTAAGGTAAAGGTAAAGGCCGTGGGGGGTCCATTGTGCTTCAGACTGGACAAAGCTGAGGGCGGGCACCCGGGGATTGATATGGAAGCTGCCCCCAGAGCCGAACGCTCGCCGGCCCGAGAGACTGCCTGGGGCGGGCTCCTCGCGCTGCTGCAGCTATGTTGCGGGCCGCGCCGAGGGGCTGCCCCGCTGCAGGGGCTCCTGCGAACCCTACTCATGAGACCAGAGGAGTCGGCGGCTGCCCTGCTGGCGGGCCGCCGACTCTGAGGACCTCCCCACGCATCCCCCTCCCCCCTTCCCCTTCACTCTCCCCCCCCCCACCACCCTCTTTCGCAACCACAAAAATCTCTGCATGGCAAACAAAGAAGAAGATTGGTGGCCTAGCGTCTTATGGATGGCTGCTCACTGGCAGCAAGTAGGCTGGATGACACTGCCACAAAGGATACTGCTCCTGCACGCGCTGCTGCAATGACTGCGACTGCCATTGCATTGAAAGAAATCTGCGGTGCCGCCTGCACACGTGCTGCTGCCGCGGCTGCGAATGCCACTGCGTTGAGAAAAATCTGCGCTGCGCTGCTGTCTGCTCCTCACCCCATCAGGCCGAGGCCGAGCCCCCAGCCTGCCTTGGCCGCGATCTCTGGGTCAGTCAAGCGGACGTCACTGCTGCTCCTGGCGCCTGGAGCGCTCACCACTCTCATCTCCGCCTCCGCGATCGTCTTGCAGTGCGTCTTCCATCCCTTGAGCGACTTCGACGGCGCTGTGCACGGGGCCCTCGGCTGGAACGTCGTCGCTTGCTCTGGAGCCCGTCGGGCCTGTGGAGCCTCCACCACGTCGTAGCCGTGCCCCTGAGGCCCCTTCGACCATGCGGTGCAGACCCGCATCGAGCTCGCCATTCTGGCGGCGACTCCTGTCCGCCCCCCACGGAAACGGGCCCCATGCGCGACGAGAGGTGTCGGAGAGGCATGCGCGGGGGGCCCTCGCCATCTTCAAGGTTTCCTTCACCTTCTCCAGCTGGTCCTTCGTGACCTCGATGCACTGCGCCCGCTCCATCTCTTCGCGCGGGTTGAGGCAGCGATCGCGCGCGATGCGGCCCAGGCTGATGGTGATGCGCTCCTCCTGCATCTGCAACTGGTCGATGAGCTTCGTCGTCTTGTCCTGGTTGGAGGCGTAGACGAGCGCCGTCGCTTGCTGGCTCGCGCGCGCCGCGTTGAGCCCATACTCTATGCTACCGAAGACATGCTGCAGATGACCTCCGCGCGCGCGTGGCTTCTGGATCAGCACGGCCTTGTCGTCGTTGTCCTCCTCTTCGGGCCACGCCGCTGGACTGTCGAGCTGCGTCGGGGAGGCATCTGCCATCGCAGGTGGGCGCTGGTTGCAACCGCTGCCGCGCGACACGAAAGCTCGCTCGCTGGTTGAGTCAGCCAAAACAGGCACGGTAAAAGAGGCCGTAGTGGTTGTCGGGACTGGCTCTCCTGCGCCATCGATCTTCGTCTGGTTTCCCTTAGTGTTGGTAGGTTCCTTGTGGTGGTCCTCATTATCCTACACTCCTGTCCTTGTAAGGCTCGATGTTGCGGCCCCCCCTTTGGGCCTCGAGTGGTTCCCTGGGGCCGTTGCGTCGCGGGCCCCCGGTAGTTATGTAGCAGAGGGGGGGCGACTTTGTTTGACTCCCTACCAGGGGGAGGAACCGTAGTTGTTTTTCTGGCACATGTGGGGTTCCGCTCTGTTCCCGTCGTTGGGTCGCCCCCTTCGCGGCACGTTGGCTGCCCCCGCTCCAAGTAGCCCATGCCCTGCTTCCCAATGAGTAGTAATATAGATCGTCGTAGTTTCAGGGCGATGCCATCTCTTGCCGAGCTCCACGCGCGCTGGTTGCTGTTGTTTTGGCCCCTAGCTGCTTGCGTACTGGCTCTAGTCACAATCTGCTGTAGTCTCTCACCCGCATTGCGGAGTGCGTTGCAACATACGACTTGCTCTACTAAACCAATCGGGATCGCAATGTGGTCTACCCTGCTGGTGTGGCCCGAGTGTACGTAGTAACTCAGACCTATGTTGTAGTGAGTAGTGACTATACTTAAGCCGCTATCCGCACATAGCCCTCGGAAACTATGTCCATTCTGGTTTTCCAGCTTGGGCGACTGAGGGCCTACTGTCGGTCCACTGCTGCACACTACCCCCCGTTGTATTCCCTCTGACATCCAAACTCGTTGTTTATATCGCCCCCCGTCACAATAATATTCGTACGACAACCCAGTCTGTCGAATCTGGCCTCCAATCACGTGCGTATGGCTTCTGCCAGCGCTGGTGCGCACTAACAAGTGAGTAAGGCGTAGTCGAACTGTTTGGTGGCTAGTCGTACCCCTGTTACTCTCCCCTGCAGCGACGCGGGTGGATGGCAAACGTCTCGCACAACAGTCAGTCCCAGGGCGTGGCCAATACAATTGGTCCATTTCCCTTGTTTCGTCCCGAACTGCAGGACGTCGTTGTAGGGCAGTCTGTTTCTCTGAGACGGTTCTGGTCCTGCCCACCTACACGTGCCACTGAGTAGTATAACATTCCCACTTCGCCACTCGCAGCTGATGTCTTTTAGTCGTTCGAAACTGCTGGTTTCCATTGGGTTGCAATAGCGTGTCCGCATGGTGACGCAGAGAAAGAAGACGAGAACCATCGGGGTCCCGCAGACCCCTTTGTCTCTAGGGCCTGCCGGTGAGGGGGCGCGAGACGCTGGTGTACAGTTGCACAGGAGGTACGGTCGGTCTGTGTCCTAACCTCGATCCAACGACCTGAGGAGGAGGAGGAGGAGGAGGAGGAGGAGGAGGAGGAGGAGGAGGAAGAGGAAGGGGAGGAGGAGGAGGAGGAGGAGGAGGAGGAGGAGGAGGAGGAGGAGGAGGAGGAGGAGGAGGAGGAGGAGAGCAGCGGGCGGGCCAGAGCGCCAGGCAGCGAGACCAGACCCAAGGACCCGCAGCAGGGCGGCACCGCGCAGGCACCCTGGCCCCAGTAGGGCGCAGATACACTTGCGCCGATCCGGAACCCCTGAACCCGAAAATGTTGCCATCCATCTCTTGGGGGCGAACTGTGCGTTTGCTTCTGCCAGCTTCCGCCGGTCTTCCGCGGGCGGAGGCGCCCTCGTTCTACTTCGGCGGGCCTCCGCCGCCCTTCCGCCGCCTTCCGCCGAGGAAGAGAGGACGACTCCTTCGTTCCTTGAAAAGCGAGGCCTTCAGTGGAACGCCTCGATCTGGCTGGGGACTGGAGGCTGGGCGTATAGTTAAAGGGAAATTAGGACACACAAATAAATACACACAAATAAAATCAGTCCCCATATTTTCCCATATTTTCTGGGTTTTTGTCTTCTCCCCCAATTCCCATATTTTCCCATATTTTCCTGGGAATCGACGATTAATTGTGTCTGTGTGTTTTTTCCCCTCCTGAATAGTAGCCAGGCAGCTGGCCCGTTAGCGACAGACAAAGGAGTGCGGGGCTGTACGCCCCTACCCCCCGGGAGCCTGCGCAGGAGCACCGGAAACGCGCCATAGGCCGCATGCCGACGCCGGAGCGCGGAGGAGCGGCGAGAGCCAAGCCAGTGGCAAAAATGCCCCAGCGGGCCATCGCTCGGACGTCCATTCCCTGTTTTTGTTGTTGGTTTCGTGCGTGGCTTTGTCGCCAGATGATCAAGGATGCTCCTCGATGGTCCTCCCCGAAGGAAACACACACACACGTCCGAGCGATGCCAAGCCAGCGACGACGGGATGCCAGCGCGAGAGGAAGCCCCAGGGAGGGGCCTCCAGCAGGCGGGCAACAGGAGCCGACGTGCCAGAGAGTGGGCGTGGAGAAACGGCACAGGCCGGCGTGGGCCCCGACGCCCGCGCGCCTGCGAGGCGGAGCGCCAGCGTGTGCCGCACCAAGGGGGGCTGGCCTGGCCACCCCACAGGGCAGTTTTTTAATAATAGGATGTTTAAAAATATTGGATGTTTAATACATGATTAAGTTTAAAAATAGATGCATCATGAACTCATCGTTGTTTTTTTATACTAAATCCCTGCCCTTCTAGGGGGCCACATGCGAACCCTACCCCTACCCCCCACGAGTTCTGAGGGGGAGGGTGGGGTTCACGTCGTTCGGGAGCTCCCGAGCGAAGTGAGCCCCACCCTCCCCCTCAGGAATCGTGGGGGGTATGGGGTAGGGTTCGCATGTGGCCCCCTAGACGGGCAGGAGGACCCAGCACAAGTGAGAGCGGCGATCGACACGCATCGACTCGGCGGGAATCGGCAGCCACGCCGGGAGAAGTCGGCTCGGCAGACATCGGCGGGCTGGCAGGCCTCCACTGAGGGATCGGAATCCAGATCGGAATCCGCAGTCGAACCGAACCGGAATCGGAGGCCCTCGAGATCGAACCGAAGCGAATCGGAGGCTTCGAAGTGAGCCCCGGAAGTGTCCAGGCCAGGGTGCCCTCGTTATTAGAGGCCTCCTAGATGGGGTCGGAGTAGATGGGGTCGAAGGATCGCGCCGCATCGCCGATACATCGGCGATGTGTTGCCGATGCGTCGCCGATGCATCGGCGATGCGGTGGCGGCGTCGGCGATGCATCCGCGACGTCGGCGTGGAGAAAATTGGGCCCCACGTCGAGCCGCATCGCCGAGGCATCGCCGAGGCATCGCCAGTGCATCGGCGATGCGGCGCGATCCTCCGACCCCATCTACTCCGACCCCATCTAGGAGGCCTTTTTTTTCTTCTCCTGCGCCCCAGCATCGGACCAGGTGACACAGGCGCCATGCTCGCAAACCGAGCCAGGGTGAAACCCGAAAATGCCGCCGCCGTCGCGCTGAGCAGCGCAAAAGGAGGAGGAGGAGGAGGAGGAGGAGGAGGAGGAGGAGGAGGAGGAGGAGGAGGAGGAGGAGGAGGGGGGGGCCTGCCGCGGGACTAGACTACTGCTAGGAGGCCTAGGGTTAAGTTCTGTAGAACGGTCCCCAGGGCCGGGTCCGGCGGTCGAGCGCCGCCGCCGGAGGCTGGCCCTGTCGGCAGGCAGCCCGAGCGGAGAGCGGAGAGGCAGCGACGCAGCGGAGAGCCGGCGCGAGGGGAGGGCCCCGGGCGGGGCCGCCCACGGGCGGGGCAGAGAGGGCCACGACGCAGTTTACCAGCCTCGAACGTATCCCTATCCAAAGGGCGATGACAATCTTGGGGATTCGCCCTCAAAAAATAAGGGAATCCCTAAGATTGGCATCGTGATGAGGAGGTGCCCAGCATAGGGATAGGGATATGTTCCAGGCTGGTAAGCAGTGGGCGGGCCAAGGTCCGCGACAGGAGCACATACACCACCAGTGGCGGGCCGTTTTTTTGAGTCCCAGGGCTTTCTTGAGGGTCGGGGACGAACGACGTCGGGGCGGTGTGGCTTAGATGCTTCCCCGCTTTCCCGGGGAGGCAACGACACGAGTACACAGCAGGATTCCGTATACGCCAGGCTCCACTCTCCTGTGCGAGTTTCCGTGCGGGGCCGGAAAAAGCGTCGGTGTAGAGAGTGCGGCTCCTTACAAGGGGCCACCCACCAGAGCGAGGGTGGCCCGGAGCCAGCGGGGCGGCGCCGAGGCTCTGCTGGGCCAGCCCGAGGAGGGGCGGGAGACCCGGAGCGGAAGGGGCCGCGGCTCCTGGGGCGAGCCCGTAGAAGCACACACGCACACACACACACACACACGCACACACACGCACACAAACACGCACACACACACACACACACACACACACACACGCACACACACACACACACACACACACGCACACACACACACACACGCATGCGCGCAGACACACAATTTCGAGCGTCGCGGACCGGGCCAAACCGAAGGTCGTCCGAAGTCCCGCGAGCGCGCGCGCTGGGCTAAGAAGTGCGAGAATCCCCCGGCACCTCGCGGGGTCGGTGGCAGGGCAAGGGGGAGCAGCGGCCGCGGCGCGGGGACGCCAGCGGAAGTGTTGTAGGGGGGCGATGATGATGACGGTGGTGATGATGATGGTGATGATGATGATAATGATAAATGGCGATGGTAAGGATGATGGTGATGATACTAACTGGTGATGGTGATGATGATGATGGTGATGATAATGATGACGATGATGATGATGATGATGATGATAATGAGTATGATGAAAATAAATGATGACGATGGTGATGATGGTGATGGTGATGGTGATGGTGATGGTGATGATGATGATGATGATGATGATGATGATGATGATGATGATGATGGTGATGCTGGTGGTGATGGTGATGGTGATGGTGGTGATGATGATGAGGATGAGAAGGATCAGGACTTCTGCTCTCCTCGTTCCCCACCTCCTCCTCCTCCTCCTCCTCCTGATACGCTTGCTCCTCTTCCTCCCTCCTTCCATCCCTCGTCCCATCCCTCCATCCTTCCCCATCCCATATCCTCTCCATCCTCCTCGACTCCTCCTACTCCCTCCCTCCTTCTCTTTACCTCCTCGTCCTCCTCGTCCTCGTGCTCCTCATGCTCGTCCCCTCTCTCTTCTCCCTCTGCCCCGCATCCGCGCAGTCTGGCGCGCGCGCGGCGGCACGGCGAGGAGGTCGGCGGACGAGGGAGTGTGATGATCGCGAGGATTACGGTCAAGCATGGTCGCACGAAGAGGCTAACCTGTCATCACAGGGTGCAGTGATGGGCCTGTTTTCCACCACCACCACAAGTTGGAGGGGGGAAGGAGGTGGAGGATGAAGAGGAGGAGGAGGAGGAGCAGGAGGAGCAGGAGGAGCAGGAGGAGGAGCAGGAGGGCCCCCTTCCACCTCCTACTTCTGGTGGTGGTGGAAAACAAGCCCACCATGCAGTGTCACCCGTCAAGTTCCCCTTGAGGTGGCTTTCAGCCAAGCCACCCTGCAGTGGGAATTGCACTGGAAATGTTAACTGGATGCGCAGTTCAGCCGTGTGCACTGCAATGCGCCTTCAGCGAACAGCCCTCGACCATGTGACCCAAACACCAACATCCACGCGACAGAAACAGCTCCAGACGTCACCGCACCACTGGTATTTACCCACTACTGCCTGAACATACTCAACACATTGTTAACGGGTGACGGCCCAACTGTGTCATCACGCCAAGGGCAAGTGTAGCTTGAGCGATATGGCATGATAAGAACCCCCTTGCAGTCAATACAAGCCGCCCACCGAATGATCCGTGGACGAGCTAGCTAAACGCTGCCGACTCCGAGGTCTTAATCGTACGGAACCGCATGAACTGTTGCGGCCTCGTTTGTTCAGTGGAGGTCTGGAGAGGGGGGGGGCTTCATGGACGAGGCCACCTGACAGCAAACCTTCTGATCACCAGTAGCGCAAATCAGGCAACCCAGAACAAATCCATCTGGCCACGGTACGACAATCAACAAAAACGCACATGCAATCTCAGAGGGTTGCCAGAGTGAGCGCGCTGGCAGTTCGGACGCGCTTGGATAGAGCGCCGCCAGGGACATCCCGTCGCTCTTGGGGCACACCTGAGCGCAGCGCAGAAGCAATTTAAAAAGAGACGAAAGAGCATCCACGACACGCATCACAGAATCGCGGCTTCCCGGAGAGCTCAACCACATGCCACTCAAGTGCTCGCGTGGTACCGTATTCGGCCTGTCCTAAGGAGCGATGAATAAGGAACGGAGCCCCTTTTTCCCAAGTGGATCTAGCACATCTGAAGAAACGCCAGGGGGCCCCGCCGCCAAAAAGGCAGCGGAACTCATGCAAACCCCAGGAACGACCGGGCCCAGCAGGTGTTCCTTATTCAAGCCGGACCCTTTAGGTGCGACGCGCCACACCGGTGAGCAGGCACCACAGCGGGAAGGGAGAGGCTCTTAACAGGCTTGGCCAGCGCCGTGTTCCTACGCGGAGCTATTGCGGGCCACTCTACGAAGGCTTTGGCAACATGTCGAAGGTACTTCTTAAGCAGAGTAATGTCGTACTGATACTTCTCTACTTCAGCGAGGTTGGGTTGGCTGCCAAGGCTCGCGGCGACCTTGGCAACCCTGTCAGCGGCACCACCAGGGAAGGCGCCGTGCGCGCGCGGGATGGGCTCTCGGCCCCCATGGGGCCAAAAACCCATCCTCCGGTGACTGCTGCCCCTGGCTCGCCCGTGCCGGTCGGCCAGGTCCCGTTGGTCGGCGGCGAGCGGAGGGGGGGGGAAGTGCGAGGGAGAAGCAGTTTTCCAAGCCTTCCCCGAGGACGCCACAGGAAAAGAAACCTCGGACGGCGCGAGGGCTTCTGAGAAGTCCCGCCGCCTCCTAAGGGGGCCTTCCCCATCTCGCTTCCCCCCTCGCTCGCCACCGAGTTGGATTCTCGGGGCCGTGGTGTCGATCCGAGCCCAGCTCGGGCGTTGGTAGAACTGGGTTTAGTGGAACCTGGTTAAGTGATCTGTACCGGGGGCGCCCCCCCGTCCCATTTCCACTAACCGGAACTGCCGTCACCCGAAAAAACGCCAGTTACGGCAAACCTGGTTTAGTGAATCTGGCCAATTGAAGGGCCCCAGGGCCCTACCACTAACCGGGTCCCCTTACCCGGGGTCCTGGCCATACCCGACCAGCGGTGGCGACGAGGTGGCCCCGCGGGAGAGAAGCCCGCCAAGAGCACGGCGCGGGGCGACGCCAGGGGGGCGGCCGCTCGGCGCTCGATCGCTGCAGCGGGCGCGCCAGCTGGAGCAGGGTTACAGTCTTCGGCCCGAGCGCCCCATAGGTTTACAGGGCAGTTTTTAACACATAGGATGTTTAAAAATATAGGATGTTTCAATACATGATAAAATTATGAATACGTGTATGCAAAAACTCATCGTTGTCTTTAATACTAAATCCCTGCATGTCTAATACATGATCCGCACGCGGAGCATGTATTAAAAACGGCACTGTAAAGTTATGTTGCTCCCATCGGTAATAAGGACCACGTCCCAGAAATCATCTCGAGCACCCGGAGAGGTGTCGAGAGAATGTCGAAAGAGTGTCGAAGCAGTGTCGGGCGAGTGTCTCCCAGGGCCTGACGCGTGAAAACACTGGAGTTTCGGTCCTTTTTCCTGGCGCTCGAACTTCTTTTCTGGTGATAAAGGCTAAAATAGGTTGGAACATCAAAAAGGTAAAGAGCCATTGGATACGTTCGGTGGCAACTCATGAGAGCCTCCCACACAATCTTGCTGGCTTGACGCCAATCGACGCCTGTCGACGCTACGTCGACGCTCACCGGCGTTACATCGGCGCTGCCTCATCGACTGCCAAACGCGAATCGACGCTGAAAACGGAATTAAGAGGGTACACAAGGCTCCCATGATTTGCTACCGAAGGTCGAAGGTCGAAGGCCGGCGTGCGCCGGAGCGCGCCCTGCTCGGGCTGCCAGAACGCTGCTTCTCACACGTTCTCTCAATCCCAACTTCTTAACTGCTGATGATCGATTTGCTACCGAAGAACAGGAATCCAGGGTCTGGAAGTCAGTGGAGCTCCAATCGTGGACGGGCCATGGGCATCACCGCCGCAGCCATCCGGAAAAAAGGGCTCCTCCGGGATCCGAAGCCTCCCGGGCACATGCCTCGACGCACGCCCCCACCGTCGCATCTCCTCTGGCCTCGCAGCAGCAGCGGCAAACACGCGGGGCGGGGCAAGACCTTAGTGGGCCCTGGAAACGACAGGGCCGTTTTTTTACCCGTTCCGTTTTGCCGGTTTTTTGCCGGTTCCGACGCCGTTTTATCACCGGTTCCGTCGCCGTTTTTTTACCGGATCCAGCTCCGGTTCCAATCCTGGAACCGTTTCTTTGCCGTTTCTGGTCGCCGTTTTTTTGCCGTTTCCATTTTCAAGGGACATTTTTTAGAAACGGTGAAAAAACGGCTCTGCCGTTTCCGGGGCCCACACAGGGCAAGACGAGTGGGGGAGGCTCAACAACAAAAAACTCACCACGGGTCCGCCCAAGGGGAGAGGGAAGCTGGGGCACACCAGTCCACAGCAATCACGAGGGGGCAAACACAGTACACAACGAAGGACAGGGGAGTCGATATTCATGCATGCTAACGAGTGCGAGTGAAATAGACAGATGCGTGCACCAGCGGACAATATCAGCATGAGCCACACGTACTGGAGCGGGCAAGACAACAAATTTCAAAAAGACCAGGCTGACGAACCATCTGGAACCTCAATGCATGAGAACGTAGCGGATCAAGCGCGCAACTAATTGAACATATACTCGAGCTTCTGTCGACTTCGTCCAGGCAACCACTAGAATGGCGAGCCTAGCTGACACCATACCCAAACAAGGCATATCAATACAGTATACAGTACTGCAAATGGTATGGGAATGATGCGTCAGGCGAACAGATGCTTCGGCAAGACACGTATGATATGAAACGCGACTGTCTGAGTAAGGGAATTGGTGTTATGTATGACCTCGATCCTCCTGCGCTACCAACTAAACTGGAGCAAACTCAAAACGACAAGTCCACCGATCGTGTCGGCGTGTGGAAGACGCGGTTCTGTTTGACTCGTCGTCGTCGTCGTCGTCGTCGTCGTCGTCGTCGTCGTCGTCGTCGTCGTCGTCGTCGTCGTCGTCGTCGTCGTCGTGGTCGCCGTCGCGGTGCGGTTGACCCCCCTTTCCCTGGGCTCGTCGCGCTCCCCCCCCCCTTTCACTGCGCCCTTCTCCTCAAGCGAGCCAGCCAGAGCGAAACCAAAGCGAAATTCAGCAACGTCATCCCTTCCTCCCAGAAGGGCGGGGGGGGGTGGCGGTCCCGGGGGGAAAGTGGAGGGGGTCACGAGGGGGGTCCTGGAGGGGGAGTCCCGGGGGGGTCCTGGGTCAGAATACCACCCTTCCCAGGCAAATCTTGGGACCGCCCCAAGACTGCCCAAGAGGCCCCTAAGACGGTCCAAGAGGGCCCCGAAACGCCGAACAATCGGTCCAAGACGCCAACGATGGCCTCCTGACAGCCCAAGCGGCCAAGACGCTCGAAGAAGCCTCCAAGAGCACACCAAGAGGGCCCCAACAGGCAGAATGAGTGACTGTGTTGGTGTCTGCCAGCTTCTGGCTCTCTCGCCTCTTCGGCTTCCCGACGCCCCAAGACGGCCCAAGATGCCACCAAGACGGGCACACGAGGCCCCCATATAGGTTTCCAAGGCGGCCCCAAAACGACCCAAGAGGGCCCCAAGACGCCCATCTTTCTCCCAGACGGCCCAAGAGGCCCCCTCCAAGAAGCTGCTACACGGGAGCCCGAACGCATATTTCGAGCCGGCCCCTAGAGGCCCCCAAGAGGCCCCCACGAGGCCCCCAGAGGCCTCCAAGGGGCCCCCAGAAAGCCCGAAGGGACCCCCAAGAGGCTCCCAAGAGGCCCCCAAACTGCCCCCCAGAGGCCTACGAGCGCGCTCCGAAGAGGCCCCGCGACGCATCACTGAGGACTCTGCCCCATGTCAGCGTCGTCGTCGCCGCTGACGCCGCCGTCGTGGTCGTCGTCTGCCTTCAGGGTCGGCGACACCAGCCGTAAGGCCTTCCCAACACGTACCTCCTGTACTACATATGCGAGAGGTTCGTAGAACCAACATCCACAATAATTTGCAGAGGGGCACAGTAATAACACAACAACTATACACACATACATACATATCATGTATATACATATGTATATATATGTATGTATATATATATATAGACACGGTTATCAAAGGTGCACGGGTGACACTGTTCATTGAAATCGCCTTGAGCTCACAGGGACAACCCAGCACTATATACATATTCATGCATCTAACAATACGTCGAGAGAGAGAGAGAGAAAACATAGAGAGAGAGGCACTGAAGTGGGACCAGGGGCGATTGGGGACATGTGTAGGACATGGATGGATAAGGTCATAGCTGGAGATATACAGACATACCGAAAGAACGACGTCCAGGGCAATAGTGAAACCGAGTGTGAGAGAGGAAGAGGAAGCCACTCCTGGTATCAAATCTGGCCCCTGAAAATATGGAAACGCAGATCGCTGGGAAAAAACTGAGGAAGGAGCGCAGAGGAGGCATACTCGAAGCAGTGTTCAGAAGCATGTGGCATACGTGCGTTGGGATGTAGGGCCTTGCGCATGAAGTTATACGCGTCGGTAGTCTTGGGCAGCCAATTCAACTCCTGCGTCACCCAGCGCACGACATGCGCGCGGGGAGGCACGCTCGACGTCGGCGTCATTCGAGGAGTCGACAGCGGGGGACGCGAGTGCCTCTGGAGGAGGAGGCGGAGGAGGAGGGGGAGGAGGAGGAGGAGGAGGAGGAGGAGGAGGAGGAAAGGGAGGAGGAGAAGGAGGAGGAGGAGGAGGAGGAAAGGAGAGGAGGAGGAGGAGGAGGAGGGAGGAGGAGGAGGAGGAGGAGGAGGAGGAGGAAGGGCCCCAGACCTGGCCGGAACCCAGAACGCTCTTCCTCCCGACCGCTGGCTCCAAGAGACCCCCGGGGGTGGTGCACATCGACCCGCTGCCGCACGCCCGCAGGGGCCGCCCCCGGCAGCCCCCGGAACAGCTCTGATTGGGGGGCACTCGGCTACACTTTTTTGGTCTGCGGGGCGAGAGCGGACCTCTTCCGACGAAAGCTAAGCGGGCTGCGCACAGCTCTCATTGGGGAGACAGGGCACAGGCGGGCGGGGCCTCGGACACTCGGCTACACGTCAGAGCTGCGAGGCGGGAATTCATCCAGATCCTCCGCCTGGGAACCGACGTCCTGGTGCCCCAGCGGGCGGTGGGTATGCATATATATATATATATACATATATATATATATATATATATATATATATATATATATATATATATATATATCGGCCACCGGGGGGCCGAATATGTCCATGTCCACCGCCTGCCGAGGCTCCGACAAACTGACCCTCCAGGCGGTGGATATGGATGAATTCCCGCCTCGGAAGAGTGACCGTAGGCAAGAGTGACCTTTGGTGCGCGGCTTTCGGGGGTGCCGCGGGGGGGGCCATCCCCAAGAGCACAAGACGCTACTATCGCATCGCCTTCGGCGATCGGGCGACCCCAGTGGGCCCGCACCAAAGGTCACTCCGGCGAAGGGTCACTCTTACGTGGAATCGAGACACCCCTTGCTTCCGCCAGCCTCCGCCGGCCTTCCGTCAACGGAGCCGCACCCCCTGTTCTGCTCACGCTGGCCTCCGCCGGAGAAGCGGGGCGAACCCGATCCGAGGCCTCCCAGAGGGGGTCGGAGAGGGGGTCGGAGGACTGCGCCGCATCGTCGGTGCATCGGCGATGCCTCTGCGGCGTCGGCGTGGAGAAACTCGGGCTCCACATCGAGCAGCCCGGCCTCTGCATCGGCGACGCGGAGGGATCCTCCGACCCCGCCTGCTCGGACCCCATCTGGGAGGCCCAGGAGATCAGCTCCTCGAGGGTAAACCTGAGAAGAACAAGGCCTTCTCAGAAGGTCCGGAAGTCCCCCGGCCTTCTGAGAAGTTTGCTGAGCCTTCCCCGAAAACAAACAAAAAAAACGGATCAGAAGGCGCGAGGGTTTCTGCGAAGCCCCGCCGCCTTCCTTCTCCTTCTCACTTCCCCCCCTCGCTCGCTGCCGATTTCCTCTGCCATGCGCCGCGCGGCCAACACATGTTGGCGCTGCGCACGTCTTGGATATGTGGAATAATGACTGACATCCGGGACAACCTGCTGGGTCATGATTGCGCCGGGGATGCGCAGATCAGATCCTAAGCTGCCCAAGAAACCCCAGAACGGCCCAGGAAGGCAATCACGGCCGCCAAGATGGTTCAGCTCTGTCTCAAGAATCATCCACCAGCCCCCAAGAAGGCCCCACCACGAGGCGCCAAGAGGCTCCCAGGATACGGATGATCAGGCCAGGACGCCTCCCGAGGAGGCCGAATCCCCCAAAAAAACACCGGAGGAGAGCCTCGGGCCCTGACGGCACGCCTCCTGAACCTTCTGCCTCCAAGGGTCCGCCTCGGGCCGCCAACAGAGAACGACCCGGGACATGATAAAAAACGGCTCTCTGGAAGGGGTCGAGAGAGGTCTGGCCCAGACCTCTCGACCCCTTCCAGAGAGCACCCTGAATCAAGCGGGTTCTGATGCGATCGCAGACTGGTGCAGCGTGCGCCGACACGAGGCCGAGCGCACTCCTCAAGAAAATCTGTCCGACCCCATTAGGGCCAACACTAAAGGTCACTCTGGCCGAGGGTCACTCTTACGTGTAGCCGACTGGGGGCCACGTCTGGAAACCTGAATATCGTTTAACCGATCCCCATCCCCAGCGGCGTGGCCTGGGCCCCGTTCGCTGGCCGATCTACCCCCCTAGATGGGGACATAGGTCGTCCCCTTCGGGTCTCGAGGGGTGTCTCCCCAAGTGGGGCGGTAATCTGGTGGGGGTCCCCAGGGGGATGGGCATGGGGATAGGGATTGGTTAAACGATGCCGCAAAGTGCTCGACGTCGGCGGCCTGGGACGAGCAGGCTCGCCCCCGCCGAGAAGGCCCGCGCACGCGCGCCAGGCCGCGGCGCGGACCGAGCGCTCCTGCTCCGCGGGGGAGCCCAGCACCTGCGAGATCCGCGTCATCATGTCCACGTGGTTCTTGCCGGGGAAGAGGGCCTCCGCGTGTGGCCGGCCGCCGCGCCCCATGTGATGGACCTGTGTTCCACCACGGCCACCAGAAGGTGGAGGGGGGTAGGAGGTGGAGGAGGAGGAGGACGACGAAGAGGAGGAGGAGGAGGACGACGAAGAGGAGGAGGAGGAGGACGACGAAGAGGAGGAGGAGGACGACGAAGAGGAGGAGGAGGAGGAGGAGGAGATCGGGAGATCGGGTCGGTGCCAGTCAGCATCGCTGACACAGCTGGCTAACAACACCCCCCTGTGGGGGTGGCCCACAGCATACTTGCTTTAAGGGTCTTCTTAGAGGGACTCCTACGGAAGGGATCGGCCACTCCCTGCCCCGCCAAAAACTCCCTCCCTTCAGCACGGGGTGAGATGGGCCAGGGTTTCCCTGGCTTCGGGGAGAGGCCCCTGCGAATTCTATTCGAGTAGCTGGTGCCCGAGGGAGGAGGAAAGGGAGGAGGAGGAGGAGGAGGAGGAGGAGGAGGAGGAGGAGTGAACATACCCTAGGAGGAGGAGGAGGAGGAGGAGGAAGAGGAGGAGGAGGAGGAGGAGAGGAGAGGAGGGGGAGGAGGAGGGGGAGGAGGAGAAGGAGGAGGAGGAGGAGGAGGAGGAGGAGGAGGAGGAGGAGGAGGAGGAGGAGGAGAGGGGGAGGAGAGGAGAAGGGGGAGAGGGGGAGGAGGGGAGGAGGAGGAGGAGGAGGAGGGAGGAGGGAGGAGGAGGAGGAGGAGGAGAGGAGGAGGAGAGGAGGAGGAGGGGGGGGAGGGGGAGGAGGAGGAGGAGAGGAGGAGGAGGAGGAGGAGGAGGAGGAGGAGGAGGAGGAAGGAGGAAGAGGAGGGGGGGGGGGGGGGGCACGTGCGCGGCGGCACGCGCGCGGGCCACGGGGAGGGGCCGGGGACATAGTGAAGTAAGAGGAGGCGCCATGACATCTGGGGGGAGATCGTGGCCCCCGCCATGATTACGAGGCCAATTTTTACACACCACCACCGCCCGTAGATTATTCTCGATCTTGGTGGTGGTAGTCATATAATACTGTGCTCGGAATGATATCCCCCCCCCTAGTCATCCCCCCCCCCTCTATGCCGCCCCCGAGATCTGTGCGTCGCAGTTTTCTCGCACCGGGGGTTCTCGCCCGATGCCGGGCCCCTGGGGACCATGCGCAGCGACCCGGCTCGAGGGCGGCCGTAGACAGGTGGGATCGACGGGATCGAGGGCTCCGGCCGTGGTTTGCCACGATGCTGTAAGGTATTCGCGCCTTCGGATCTCAAGGCCGCCGAAGCACTTGGCGAACTGAGCTTGCTCAATCGCGGCGTCATCCCGTATCTCGACCCACCTGAGGGCCGACTTCGGGCCTCGGGGCGGGCCCATCTGATGATCTGACTGAAGGGGCCCACAAACACACAGACAAATACACACAACATAACAGGCGTCCCCTATTGTTTACCATATTTTCTGGGTTTCTGTCTTCCCTCCCACTTCGCATGTTTTCCTTTATTTTCCGGGGAATCGACGATGAATTGTGTCTGTGTGTTTCCGTCCCTCCTGGCTGACAGCGATTCGGGAGCATGAACCGGCCACAGGGGATGGGCGCGAGAGCTCTGGGGCCCGCGGATCGGAGAAGGGCAACCGGCCAGAGGTCCGGACCCGCCAGACGGCAGACCCCCACCGGCTCTGCTGGGAGCCGGCTGTCGAATGCTGCCAGATGGACAGCGTGCTGACGACAGTGATGCAGCGAGGGTCCAAGGGGAAAAAGAAGAAGAAGATGAAGAAGAAGGAAAGAGAAGAAGCTCGAAAAGGAACGACATCACTGGACCCCCGACCAGCCCCTCGCCAGTGGGCGAGCATACAAACGGGCGCCTCACCGCGCTGGATGCGTTGTGGATTTCGGTGGGGCGGAACAGGCGAGGATCCAAAATCCGCAGACTTGCGGCATCCTGGTGTCTGCAATGAATACAGCACGGTGCCGAGATCTGACGATGGCAATGACGATGACGATGACGATGGTGATGATGATGATGATAATGATGATGATGATGATGATGATAATAATAATGATGACGATGACGATGACGATGACGATGATGATGCTGCCGATGATGATGCTGCTGAAAAGATGCTGTTGATGATGATGGCGGTGATGATGATGATGATGATGATGGTGATGATGATGGTGATGATAATGATGGTGATGATGATGATGCTGATGCTGATGCTGATGATGATGATGATGATGATGATGATGATGATGATGGTGGTGGTGGTGGTGATGATGCTGGCAGCAAGTACATGAGGGATATGGCAGAAGCAAGGAGGGGAGCAGAGGAGGAGAAAGGCAAGAGTGAGGCGACGCGGGGCGCCGTCTCCTCGAAACGAGGATCCAACACCACATAATGGCTGTGAACAACACACTAACACCTCTAGGGAACGAAGAATGACATAAACATAACAACTCGGAGGTCCGCGCGAATTTCTCGGATCGGCGCTGGACACCCCTCCCTGGCGCGCGGAGCGCGCCGGGGGCGGCGCCAGAGACGCCGCCAGGGGGGTTATTCGCCGCCGATGCGAGAAATCCGCGCGGACCTCCGAGCTTCTATGTTTATGTCATTATTCGTTCCCCTAACCTTAGGTCGGGCCTGTCCCCCTATAGAGGGATTTGCGACGAAATATTAACTATATAATGGTCAAACATATTCCTCTTCTTATATTTTTATAAGCCCGGGCGGGGGGAAAACCCGTCCCCCCCCCCCACACCAAAACCGGACTCCCGGGACCTGGGGCTTTGGGGCCCTCCGAACGGGCCTGGAAGCGGCCACCGGGCCTCGCAAGGCGTTTTGCCAAGCCTTCCCAGCACACTTAGGGCGATCAGGGGGGTCATCGGAGACGTCCCAAAGACCCCCAAGACAGCACAAGAGCGCTCCAAGAGTGACCGACGTGAGCTCAAGATGGCCCAAGAGGCCTCCAGGACGGCCCCAAAGAGGCCTCCAAGAGCACTCCCAAGAAGGCCCCCCGAGGCAAAAATCATTGATTTTCTGTAGGTTTTGGTGTATTTGGAGGTTCTCCTCTTTTCGGCTTCCCGACGCTCCAAGACGGCGGTCTTCTGGGCGTCCGAAGCCGCCTGGGAGGCTCCCAAATCGCCCCACAACCATCCGAAAGGGCTTGCAGGCAGTCCAAGAGAACCCCAAAACAGCACAACACGGGTCCAAGATGGCGCTCAGAGAGCCCCATGGCGGCCCAAGATGGCCCAAAGACACCCTCCGAAGAATTCCAAATCGTGATTCGGTCGTTCAGGGAGACGGCGGTTGGAGGCAGGGTGGCCCCAGGAAGCCCCTGGAGGCCCCCAGAATACGCCCAGGAGGCCTCCAGAAGGCCTTAAGAAAGCCCGAAACAACTTTTGTGAGGCCCCTAGAGGCTCTCCAAGGAGGAGCCTCCGCAAAAAAGAGCTGAGGAGGATGGGGAGAATGCGCAGGGTATGGCGAAAATAAAGAACAATAAGCATGGAGGAAGGATAACGAATAGCATCTTTATAGCGGCGATGCCGGAAAAGGCAAACAGGAGTTATCGCTAAATTGTCGGCTTGACTTTCCTGCCATTCCGCCTGCATGCCAAATTTCAAGGACCAAGGTGCATGGCGCGAAGCGTACTGCAGTCTTGTAAATATATGTGTATATATATATATACACATAAAGATCGTCCCCAGACTATTTGTGACTATTTTTGCATACTCCTCCTGCAGAGGGACATGCCCGACCTAACCCTGACCTTGCAGTTCGAGCCTCGACCTCCGGCCCGAGGAGCCTTGCGCCCCAGCATCTCCCCGAGGATGCAGCCGAGCGCCCACAGGTCCAGGGACACTGTGTACCTCCACGGAGGGCGCGCACGCGCAGCCAAGAAGAGCCCGTTTTTGGTTGTTCGCGATCACGTCCCCAGAGATCCAACGCATTGAAGAAATCAAAACACCGGTTTTTCGCAAAATTCGGCCCCTTCGGGGCCCTCGCCGGGTCCCGGGACCGTCAAAACACGACTCGGGATGAAAAACCAGTCCTGGAGAATGGGTCGAGACTTCCGGGGACCGCAGCCAAGAAGAGCCCGTTTCTTTAACGGGCGAAGAACGGTATAACGGCATAACATAAACTTTGTCGCTGTCGGGGGCGCCTGTCCCAGGGCGGCTGGAAAGTTTATACCCTCACGGTGGCACGGCAAGACATAAACCTTCCAGCCGCCCGGGCGCCCCCGGTGACGGGAAGTGTATGTTGTACCGTCCTTCGCCCGCTAACTGTTGGTTGTTCGCGATCACGTCCGTGACCGGCCACGCCTCCCCCCCTCTGAAGGTGCCCAGGGACACACAAGTAAATACACACAAATCCCAGGAATTGCCAATATTTCCACATTTTCATTGGACTTTCGTATTCCCCCTCACTTCCAATATTTTCCCATACCTTGTGGGGAATCGACGACTAATTGTGTCGGTGTGTGTGTGTGTGATTTTCCCTCCTGACCCTCCCCTCCCCCCTCATGGTCACGTCACGATTCGCGCCGGCGCCGTCCAGGAACCAGCCAGTCCTATAGGCAGTCCCGACGGCGCAGGTACGAACCGTGGCGCGACGCGCCAGCACCCCCACTCCCCCCCCGTCACGCCCGTGATCGCGAGGGTAAAAAAAAACAGTCTGTTTCAAACAGTTTCGAATTCGAGACCCAGCGCCAGCGAAAACTTTGGAGTCCCGAAACGGTGCGGTGACAGACCGTGCGGTGACCTCGGAGCCCCAAGAGACCTCACCGCACGGTCCGTCACCGCACGGCCTTGCGACCCCAGAGACCCCGTCGCCCGAGACGTCCTCGGAGAGGGCCTCGAGCCCCAAAACCGTGCGGCGACACCGAACCCCCACCGACTCACCGCACGGTGTGGTCACCACCCCGTTTGGGAGCCCCCGAATAACGCTCGGGATCGGCCAAGAGGGGGGTGTCCAAGAGGGGGGGGTGCAAACCATGACCGGCGGCATGTGCGCGGCCCAGCGGGGGGGCCAGGGACGCAACGAAATGAGAAGAGGCGCCATGAAATCTGGGGAAGTATCGTGGTCCCCGCCATGATATCCACCCCCCCTGGTCCCCTGACCTTCCAGGAGGGCTGGAAAATAGCACCAGGACGTCGACGTCCCAATTCCTGTCGAGGCTTGAGGCAGTCCAGATAGATCTGTAGGTCTGGAGGAGTGCTACGTTCTAGCACTCTGGAAGGTCAGGGTCCTCCCCCCCCTCTTTGCCGCCCCCGAAACGCAGAGGGCAAGCTGGGCATCACTGGGAGACCGGGAGGGATCTCCCCGAGCACCGGGCCAGTCGCGTCGCGCGGCCGGCCGCGGACCCTCGCGGGCGTGCTCGCGGGTCGAGGGACACACACGGCAGTGCGGGGGCCCTGCAGGGACACCACACAAATAGACAGACACAAATCACAGGGTCCCCCACAGTTTCCCCTATTCTCTTGGCTCTTGTCTTCCTCCCCACTTCCCATATCTCCCCAGATCTCCCTGGGAGTCGACGATCGGTTGTGTCTGTGTTTCCCTCCCTCCCGATACAGAAGGGTGGGCCGAGGGCTATGGCAGTGCTTTCCCTCCATGCTGCACTTGTGTTCGTGATGCCGCGGACCTCAGGGGGCCAGGAGTTAGGAGGATGGAAGCGGGCGCCTCAAGACCCCCATCGCAGCAGGAAGCATCGTAAAACGGCTGCCTCTGGAACGCCGTCGACATGGAGCCGTTTCTCCCAGCCCTGGGGCCCCGCGGCCATCAATAGGGGAACAAAAAGTTACACAAACATAAAAACTCGGGGGTCCGCGCGGATTTCTCGGATCGGCGCTGGACCCCCTTCCCTGGCGCGCGGAGCGCGCCAGGGAGGCGCCGCCGGGGGGCACCAGCGCCGATCCGAGAAATCCGCGCGGACCTCCGAGTTTTTATGTTGATGCCACTTTTTGTTCCCCTAGTCAAGGAACCACTCGGGAGGAGCCGGCCCAGGGGACGGGGCCGAGATCCTCAAGGGGCCCACGCCACACAACAACTGGGACGCCCCACCGAGTCCCAGTGGGCCCTCGATTCCTGCTCCCGGGGCCGGATGACCCAACGAGGGGTGTGATCCCCCGCTCTACTTTCTCGCCCTCGGGTGTGGGTGTTCAGACAGACCCCCCTGGGCAGCTCAGCCGAGAGACACGACAAGATACTTTCCTGCCGCACTGTGATGAGGCAAGTAACTTCGGTGGGGTACACAGTGCAAGCGTGAGTGCGGACTGAGCTGGCACGGATCCCCTGGGGCAAAGCCAGATTCACGAGCCGCTCCAGCTTGGACGAGCACGACGCCCAGAGCTCAGGGGAGGCGTACTCCTTAACCGCAGTTAGGCGGAGAGCCTGGAGAACCTTGACTTCCACCGACCCCGTGTCGTCCCGCACCGGCTTCCTCACTTCCACCGTGGGGGCGTTGTCACCAACTTTCTCGATGGTGGCCCGTCCGGAACGGGGGCCCCATTCACCTTGGAGCATCACTTCAGATTCTCCGCCGCTGTGCACGTAGACGACAGTAGCCGCTTTACTTGCGGCCCTCGCCCAAAGCCTATCTTTCTCGACTTCTTCAGGCGCCGTGGCAAGCAAAACCATTGGGCCAGAAGCCGCGCAGCCCAGGGCCGAAGCGACAGTCGTGATGACCGCGCCCCCCAGGGTGGAGCCCACAACTGGACTTCCCCCGTCGCTCGGGAGGGACCCCGGCTGCCGCCGCGAGCGACGAGCCCAGCCCAGGACAGAGCAGCAGCGTCGGCCACCCCGCCCGAACCTCCACCGCCTTCCGCAGGGGACCCTCCGCCGGCTTCACGAGGCTGGAAGCAGGGGAGGCCCCCCCGAGCCGCCCCGGCCCCCTTGTCCGCCATGGCCGGCGGGGGCAGGGGCAAAGGAGGGCTGGACGCCAAGCTTGTCAGACAAAGCTCTGACCATTTCGCGGAGCTCAGCGTCAGTACAGTGGGGGACGCTAAAGAAGGAACGAGGCCCCTTTTTCCCATCAGTTAACGTTCGATTTCCCATCGAATACCTAAGCAAAACCTAAAGCAAGCTGTGAAACAATCAAGGAACACGGAGCCCCTCCCCAACGAAAAAGGGTTCCTTCTTCAGGGCCCCGACTGTAGGGGCCTGGCCCTTGGCCTGAAACTGCCGAACCATGGGGGCCAACCAACTCCAGCCGTCGTAAAAATCCCGAGCGCGACCACGGCGGCCACGGGGACGAGAAGCTGGGGATCGACGCCGGGGACCCACGGTTCCCGCTTCGCCGGTTTCCGCCCGGGGGGGTCAGCCGGAAGCTCGTCAGCTGGGGGCGGGTGGGTCCCAGGGGGTGGTTGCGAACCGGAGGCGCCCTCCCTTAAACCCCGCACCTCCTTCTGCCGAGTAGCAACAGCATCCATTCAGCCAAAGAGGACAGAGCGTTCCTCGCGGTTCCGGCGGCCGCCCTCGCCGCCGCCCCCGCCCCGCCCCTCGCCGAACCTCTTAATACTCAGGCCTCGGTCCTGAGGACCCCCCATTGCCACATCTGCCAGGGCTTGTCGCGTGCCCTCTGGCGCGCGTGGCGACTTCTCGCATGACGCGTTCGGGTGTAAGAGGGCCCCCGGGCGGGCCAAAAGGGCAGCCCAGACGGCCCAAGAGGGTCCCGAATCGCCGCACGATCGGCCAAGACGCCCCAGATGGCCCCAAGAAGACACAAGAAGCCTTCGAGCCGCTTGGAGGGAGCTCCAAGAGCCTTGCCGAGAGGGCCCCGAGGGGGCAAAATCATTGGCTTCCGACGCTCGAAGACGGCCCAAGAGGCCCCCAAAACCGCCCCAAGATGGCCCAAGAGGCGCCCAGGAGGGCCCCAACATACCCCAAAGGGTTCCAAGACGCCCCAGAGGCGCCCACGATGGCCCAAGAGGGCTCAAAGACAGCCCCAAAAAGGGCCAAAGAGGGGGAACGCGAATCGAAAATTTGAGTCTTCCTCCCCAAGCGGGCCGAACGCCATTATACATATATATATATATATATATACATATATATATATATATATATATATATATACGCACGTGGGTATCTACACACAATCAGGAACATATCTATATGTATATATATATGTGTGTGTATCCAAAATACCTACAATATGTGTATATATAGTTGTGGCCATGCATACATGTTTGCATTACGTGTACTCGCTATAGACACGAAAAATATGCATGTATGTGTGCATATATAAATAGATCGCTTACTATATGTTTCTGTCTCTCTCTCTCTCTCTTTTCACTTCCGCTGCCTCGGCTCTCCCTGCCCCAATCGCAGCTCCGACCCGCGCTGCCCCACCCAACTCCTCGCTCACATCAAGCCTGGCGACCATGCTGGCTGGGCCTTCTCTATATCTGGCGACGTCAGCGCTGCTGGGGCACTGCTTGGGCAGAAGCATCACCTCAGGCGCGCGGTACCTCGGGGCGGCGGGGGGCGGCGATCTGTGAGGTGGCGGTCACAGTGGACTCACGCATCAAACCTCCCGTCAGCATCCAAACCTCGTCGTGCCTCCAGCCTCGCATGCCCTGTCCCTCTCTCGGCGGCGAGCCCGGGGGGGGGAGTCAGAAAGGGCGGGCCTTCTCAGAAGGCTCAGAAGGCCTTTGGGCCGGCACAAGAAGCTGCCCCGGAGACACGGAAAACTTCTCGGAAGGCGCGAGTGCTTCTGAGAAGCCCCGCCGCCTTCTGACCAGGCCTCCTCCTTCTCACTTCCCCCCCCCTGCTCGCCGCCGAGTTTCTGTGCCCATCCGGAGATGCCTCTCTGCCTAAACATGTTAAGCATGTATATTCGTGTCCGCCTGCATGGGCACCCCTGTCTGTGCTTGGACTGAGCCTCACGACCGTGTCGGGTAAAAACGACTCCTCGACACTTCCTGTCTGCATAATATCGCATGGCATCTTGACATCTTGACAATACTGCTGCACCACAACCGTGATAAAGACGACGAGCTCAAACCGCGCGGGCTATTCCATTGTCGTCATCGCATGTGCATTAATTGCCAGATGCCATGCGCAAATGATCGCGGAATCCCGACAATTCGTCAACGTGGCATCACATCCGTTCAAATCATTCATAGCACCGCTTTGCACACTATCCTCCAATCTGTTTCCCAATCCTCCTGTGTTGAGTCTCGGTTTGACTCCGCCGCGCCGCGCTTCTCATTCCTCCTCATCACCCTCCTGCTCCTTCTCATCTCCCTCGTGATCATCCTCATCATAACAATCATCATTCACAGTTCGGCACACCAATCACACGTGTCTTGGCCCAAGAGGGAACTCCCAAGGAGGCCCCAGTGGCAGGGACCGCATGGCGTCCCCCCGTTGATTTTGGCACGTCCCTCACACGCTGCGTGGCCCCGAGGGGAGCCCGTCCGACGGTCTCGTGCCCCCGAACCGCGCTGCCCGAGCTCCGAACCTCTCGCGGAGCACTACTTTCCTCAGCCGCAGCAATATAGTGCTGGGTCATTCGCCAGGATCCCCCCTCTGAGCTTCGGCACCAGCGCGTGACCACGTACTCGGTGAGCACGCCGCACTCCTGCAGCCAGCAAGTGATTGAAATCAGGCCCACGACACTCTGCAGACGCGACAGCCCTCTTTGCAGCAGGTTCGTGTGGCGCCGACTTCGGCGTTGGTTTCTGGCACCGCGGGGCTCGTCCAACCTTGAACGATCGGCCGTGTCCGAAACGTCAGATCGTTCAACATCGACCGACTCTGGATCGCCGGCGGCGTTCAACGTTGAACGCCGGCGGGGGGTCGCCGCCAGTCGACACGACGCGAACCTACCGCACACGCTGTGCATGGGCAGTCCTCACTAAGATAGGAGATCTTCGAGCACAAGTCATTGTTGCCCAAATGGTCAAGCCTGGGCCACACGGCCTCCCAACTTCGTCTTGAAGAGAGGCGACTGCATGCTCGCAGCGAACCTGACATCGCCCAATGAGTGGCATGTGATACCGAGGAGTACTGCGCCTGGCGAGCATATACAATATTAAGGCAGCGTTGCTATAGCTAGAAAGCGTAACTGGCTTCGTGAGCATCACTCGCCGCTTGCTCCCAATCGAGTCACGTACGAGCTCAGACCTTCCAGCGGAACGCTACTCTCTCACGTAGACTGAGCTACAGACAAGAAACAACTACAGGGTGGACACACATTCAGGACCACTGGTCTGTCCGAAGCTAGCCAGTGGCACTCCATTTATGCTCAGACATAGCCTGGTACTGATCATTGGTACGGACGTTCAGGCTCATATATCTCCCAAGACACCTGCTTTACAAGTGCCTCGAATGTCAGTCAGCACGCGCCTTCCCCAAAAGGTTTTCTTCAGAACAATATCGAATAACGATTCTGGTATGCTCCTCCGCCTCCCAACCACTCCACATGTGTTCACTGTCCCCCTCCGAGCATGATCCATTCCCGCCTGTCTACATACATTCCCGGAACTTTGCACAGAATCACGAGAGCGCGCACACGCACTCTCCTGCAAGCACACACACATCGATATCTATATATATATATATACATACATACATACATACACACACAGACAGACAGACAGACAGACAGACAGACAGACAGACAGACAGACAGACAGACATACATACATACATATATGCGTGAGTATGTACATGCTCGCCGACGCGGACCCCAAACATTGCGTTTTTAGCAATCGATGCTGTGCAACCTATGTGGCGCAATCATCGAGGTTGAGCCATATAAGTGGTGCGGCCTATGTGGTGCAATCTCTGTGATGCAACTAATTCTGTTCGCAGTGAGTGCAATCTCTGTGATGCAACTAATTCTGTTCGCAGTGAGTTGTCCACTCCATTGCTCGTGCAAACATCCCACCCACCCACCCGCAAGTTGGTTTGCAAACCTCATGCGGCGGCGATTGCGATGAGTGCTTGGCGCTGGCTGGTGGATCTCTGCGGCCGCGCCAGCCCGCGCATGCGCGCGCAACGGCCAGGTAGTTTGGCGCGACCGCCGCGGCCGCTGTGGTGCTGACCGCTCAGCACATCCAGGCGGGCACGTGAGTGCGAGTCGGCGACTTGGGCGGGTGCGGTATCATGGCAACGTCGACAATCGTAGACACGAGGATGATGGTAATAGCGCCATTGGTGACGATGCTGACAGCGACGACGGCACGGCCAGTGACGGCGCTGATACCGATCACGCCGGCGACGGTGACGGCGTCTTCGCGTCGGCGATGAAGGCTCTGCAAGGAATTCGACATACGCGCGCGGCAGACGCGTGAGAGTGGCTCGCATGGTATTATTTGAAACGGACCGTATCACCCCAGCACGCGCGCAAGGGCGTTCGAACGATTTCGACATGCGCGCGCGAAGCCCGTTTAAAAAACGTGTTATGGACATGTTGAAAATTGTGGTTTTCTTAAGAATTTGCAACAGCGCGCGCACGCTTTTGTTGAAACCCTGTGTTGCGAAACCGTGCGTTTTTATATATATATATATATATATATATATATGTGTGTGTGTAATGGACACTCGATTTTAAAATCCTTCTGAAACGGAGAGTGTCTGAAGGATTTCGGCATGCGCGCGCGACGACGCGTTTGCGTGCGCTTCGCCCTTTCTTGTTTGCATACGATCCTCGCAGCTGCACGCGCGCAAGGGCGTTCGAACTATTTCGACGTGCGCGCGCGTGAAGCCCGTTTGGCAGCATTTTCTGAAATCTGTAAAAGACAATGGCTTTCTTAAGAATTCGCAAGAGCGCGCGCGCATATGTACATTTGTTGAAAGTCCGTGTTGCGAAACCCTGTGTGTTATATGGTTAGTTGGACACTCGAATTTGAAATCCTTTCGAAACCGGAAATGTTTGAAGGATTTCGGCATGCGCGCTGCACTTCGTCCCTGTTTTTTTGCAATGGGCGATTGAAAACTTTGCGCTTTTTGATAAGCAAGTGTGCGCGCATATGATTTGTTGCAGAAAATGGCGGTGGGGCGATACCAGCCTGGCTGGGATAGTATGAATTCACCGGTCAGATGGACATAGGGTCAGAATCCGACGTGTTTTGCATCGGTTCCCGAGGGTCTTTAAACCCGGGGGGGGAGGGTGGTAGAACCGATCTCTCTTCAGAAGAAAGAATATATGTTGCGCACTCTACGTGCTGCAACTCATGTGGTGCAACTCGTGTGGTGCAATCTACGCGTCTCAATACATGTTGCGCAAGCTACAAAGTGTGTAATATACGTGGTGCAACCGATGCGGTGCAGTATGTCGTGCACTCGATGTGCTGCAATCTACGTGGTGCAATGTATATAGCAAATTGTATGTTGCGCCTCTGATGTGGCGCAACATATATTGCGCAATCCATGTGCCTCAGTCTATGCGGTTCAATATATGTTGTGCAACTGATGTGGTCGAGCCTAGGTGGTGCAATATATGTGGTGCAGCCTATGCTGTGCACCCTACGCGGTGCAAAATATGTAGTGCAATCGATGTAGTGCAATATGTATTGTGCGCTCTATGTGGTGCAATCTGTGTTGTCCAATCCGCGCGGTGCAAGTTACGCGGGGTTGACCATGGTTTGCAAGCTACGAAGTGCACCCTAGGTGGTGCAATATATGTTGTGCACTCTTTGTGGTGCGACCTACGCGGTGCAGTCTACGTTGCGCAATCTAGGGCCTAGGTTGAGAACGAGGCGGCGACGGGGCGGCGACGGCGGCCACATAGCCGCAAGACCGAAGATACGGCCCAGACGACGGGCGGCGACGAGGCGGCGACGAGGCGGCGACGAGGCGGCGACGGCGGCCACGTAACCGCCAGTCCACAGACACGGACAGGCTCCCCAGAACAGAAATAGAATCCCGAAGTGCAGCCACTGTTTGGGGAACGTCTTTTAATATGCACATTGGCATGGCGATGTTTGGCGACCGCGGCTTCGCCTCGCGCGCAGGGACGAACTGGAGCAAGTCGAGCAAGCACCGCGGAACTGAGGCGCGCGGCCCGGGGGATTTTTTGCGGTATTGTTTCTATTTTTCGTCGAAGATCCCCCAGTAGGGGGACAGGCCCGACGTAAAGGAGGGGGGGGAGGACGCAGGGGCCGGGCGCGTCCAAGAGGGAGGGGCGTCCAAGAGAGGGGGGGGTCGCAAAGCTGGGCCCGAGGGGCGCGCCCAGGCGAGGGGGGGTGGGCCGAGGGTCGGGCGGAAAGAAGAAGAGGAGGGGGCCACGAGACATACGGGAGACCTGCTGGTCCTGGCCATCACATCGACCCCCCCGACTCCTGCCCGCCCCTCTCGTGGGCGCCCCCGCAAGGAGACCTGGCCGCCGGGACCCCTGCGGGAGAGCCCCGAATCGAGCCGATAAGTCGGATAGGCGGTCGACATGAATCAAGCCAGCAAAAAACGGAAGCCGACGCGGGAAGCATCGGATCGTTGCGAAAAAGTCTGCCTCCCGCGGAAAGCCGAAGGCCACAGCGGAATCGCGAGCCGAACCGCTCCGGAATCGGAGGCCATCGAGGTCGAGGCCGAGGTCGGGGTCGGATCGGGGGGCTGGAAGCGAGCCCTGCTCCATGAGCAGGGACCGACCGTCCCGGCATTTTCTATACTCCTACCACGAAATAATCTCAGAACCCAAAAATGCTCGAATCACAAAAACAATGCTCTTAGAACTTAAGCCCGATGCGGTAAAACAAGACAGGCCCCGCCAGAAGTGCTCTGAGAGCAGCTCGTGGAAACCACAGAAGGTAGAACACGGCTTGGTAGGGCTCCAGGCGAGCCAGGACGCTTCGCCGCTGCTTGAGTAGGGGAACAAAAGGTGGCATAAACATAAAAACTCGGAGGTCCGCGCGGATTTCTCAGATCGGCGCTGGACCCCCCTCCCTGGCGCGCGGAGCGCGACAGGGGCGGCGCCGGAGGCGCCGCCGGGGGGCCCCAGCGCCGATCCGAGAAATCCGCGCGGACCTCCGAGTCTTTATGCTCATGCCACTCTCTCTTCCCCTCCTGAGGCTCCTGGCCCTCCTCCTCCCCGTCCACGTCGCACATGTCCCCGCGCGCCAGGCCGAAGTCGCAGACCTCTGCCGGCCAGGCCGCGCCGCTCCGCCCCCCCCCCCCTTCGCCCCTGCCCCCCCCCCCCCACCGCGCGCTGCGGGGGGGGGGGCAGGGGCGCCCCGGACCTTCCAGAGTGCTAAAAAATAGCACTCCAGACCTATAGATCTATCTGGACCGTCTCAGACCTCTACAGGAATCAGGACGTTGCCGTCCTGGTGCTATTTCTTAGCCCTGCTGGAAGGTCAGGGGCTCGGAGGCCCCTGGCGCGCGCGGGGCTCCGGGGGCGCGCGCGCCGCGGGTCGGCGCGCAGCCGCCGCTCTCTCGGGGGCGGGGGGGGGAGGTGGTCGAGGAGGAGCGGGCCTCGAGGAGCGAGGGCCGAGGAAGGGGAGGGGAGGGGAGGGAAGGAGGGAGGGGGGAGGGAAGGTTGGAGGGGTAGGAGGACAAAGAGGAGGAGGAGGAGGAGGAGGAGGAGGAGGAGGAG